TATTTTCTTTTATTTAACTGAAAATATTAAATGACGATACATGAATTTAGAAAAAACTTCTTCTTGGCAAGCCTACCTTAAAAAAAAATAACGTTTAGTCGATCGGTAGGTACAATTTATATTCTTATCACTCGTCGGTATTCATGTATTTTTGAAACCCCCTAGTTTGTCTTGGTTATTCATCTTTTGGTATTATCCCGATAGATCTAAACTGTTTTGACATTTTAATTCTTTAGAATGTGATGAAGGAACATATGAACAAGACTGTCAGTTTAACTGCTCATCACGATTCTGCCGGTCACAAGATAAATGTAGTTACATAGATGGAGCTTGTGGCTGTTTTGATGGATATCAAGGAGTAGATTGTACTGTTAAACAAGCGAATACAGGTTAGACGATATACTTATTTAACTATCTACAATCAAATTGTTTGTCATCTTTTTAGATGGTCATATGTTTAGTAACAATTTACCAAAAAAACGCCCGGCCTTCTGTTTTAAGAATTCTGCGAAAATCGAAGATTAAAATTTGATCCTAGTAAGGAATAATTCTCATGTGCTCTTGTTAAGTGAATTACAGAATAAGTAATGCATAGAGCAGCAAAACTAAAGAGCTATATTTTAATATGAGCAAAAAAATATTCCTGTATTTCTTTTCTTTGTGATTTGCAGGAAATACATGTATAGATCACAGTTCGACTATAATTGGAATGATTTTGGGACTAATAAGTGGATTCGTAGCTGGATCTCTCGTGGTTCTGTTTTTTAAGAAACGAAGGTAAGTTGCGATATCATAAGTATTTAAATGTGAATTATGATTTTTTCGAAGGTTACTGCTCAAATTGAAGAAATCTATAGAAATGAAATGAAATGAAATGCATTAAGGAGCATCAGCACCAAACAGGCTATATAGCTCCAGAATACGTTAAAATAAAAAAAAAAATAAAACAATAAAACACCTATCAATATCACAGAAAGGTCACATAGTGACAACAAAAAAAGGCGATAAAAACACAGATCACAGAAGTCATTTAATGACTACAAAAACTACTAAAAACAATATCACAGGTAATACACCACATAGTGGTATTAAAAACAAAAAAAATATTTAAAACAAACAATGACTAATCTATTCAAAATTCAAAATCTCATAAAGAGAAGGTTGCACAAAAAGCTGAAATAAAGAAACAGCACGGTAGTAAGAAATCTAGAGAAATGTGTCCCTTAACTTATCTGAAAGTTTTAACTAAAAAATCCTGCCGTTCAATTTTAACACCAAAACTATTGAAAGGTTTTCTGTTAACTCGGTATGTGTGTTTGGTAGGTCGTGGATGAATTTAATCAAATTAACGCCTAATTTTAGAGAAACATGTCTCCTACGTATTCTAGCTGTTACTAGCTGCTTACTTCACAAATAGTACACTTTGTTTTAAAACGAATTCAGTTTGACCATCGATGTAATAGAATATAAGAATAATTTTCAGGTAAACTTTACGATGCTTTTGTTCATGAG